CACATTCTTGTGTATAAAGACAGAGGTATGATCCCGCTTGAGGGGCTATCACAATATCAAACAACTCTTCTCTCATATTCTCACGAAATCCTTCTCTCAAACATCAAGTTAGTAAGTTAGCGATTCAATACGACATAAGCCCAGTGCATTAAATGTTTGTTCTTTTCGTTGTTCTAGACCAACTATAGCCACCTCAACAACGACGACGATAATATCAACGAGAATGCAGCTCTCATCTATGCTCATCGTCGGCCTCGGATTCGCCTCCACCACGTCCGGCTATGTTCTCACCCTGTATAAAGGCGAGAACTGCGGAGGCGCCTCGCAGAGACGCAACATCTACGACAACACCTGCGCTACCACCGACTTTGCCCCCAAGTCCGTCCGGGTCGAGGTCTATGGGGGTTATAACCAGAAGGCGTACTTTTACTCTACCAAGGGATGTATCGCGGGCCAGGAGCTCCGTGGTCCGTGGTATGCTGATCATGAGAATAATTCGTGGAAGAGAGGAGCGTGTATTAGTATGGGTGGTAGGACTGTTAATGCCTTTGGATCTCGAGTGTGAGAGATCAGTGAACTAGCGCGGGCATAGACCTCCATTCTGGCGGTTGTCATGCCATGGACTCGAGAGTAAACACAACAACCTCTTGAGATCCTGAACCAAATAACTAGACTAAGCTTCGCAACTTACTCTAGGTGTTGGCTCTTAAGCGAATGAACAATAGAAATGCCGGTCGCCTTAATTTTCTGGTCATCGTTTTTTCCAAGCAACGTGTCATATTGGAACATTCCATCGGGCGAAGTGCCCATTATTAGTAGACATATTTCCGAATGTACTTTTGGCCTACTTGAGAGCCCCAAAGGTTGATGCCTCGCCGTCAACGGGGTACTCCAAGCTTCATTACCGAATACTCAGAGGAATATCCTATGACCTAATAGGGAGATATCTAGACATACCTTCCACCTGAATATACAGGAGACACATATATAGCCCCTCTCAATTCCGTTCCTGTCACCAACCAGCAGGCTTCTGTCTAGATCGATAGGTCAGGTCAAACTGGCTGGGTGTTGGAGTAGTTCAAGGTAAACAATCAAATACGGCCACGTCCTACTCGACGAGAGGCTACGAGTTCGATTCCTAGCATGAGCATCACGACATGTAGCCTACTGAGTTGAACTTTTTTTTTTTCATTCTTTTACTTACTTCGGAAAAGGAGCTTACTCTCTATGACTTTCGGACTACCGGCTTGCTCCCTCCCACTTCGGCCGTCCGCGACTCGGCATGCCGGATGTGGGGGGTTTCCGAACTTGACCCACAACGAGTACTTGCTTCATGACTCTGTAAGAACAGACTTGGGTCTGTGAGTTCTGCATGGAAAACAGGCCACAGAGACTCTGTGACGAGTCTACCTGTGCAATCGTTGCTACATTTGGGCCACTTTGTGCAGCACACGCGGGACAAGATGACATAAGTTATCGTATTGCAAGAGTCCCCGATTGGACACGGGGAGATAGGAAAAGAGGTAGGTAGGTGATCCACTGTGCCTTCCATTGAGGAAACTTCCAGTGCCTCAATCAACGCATCATTGACCATTGCTGGCGACTAGGAGCGGGGGGATTTTCTGTTTCTTTTTTGTCCTCCAGGGACGTGTGTTTAATTAAATTATGCCCACGCCTCGTCTTCTATACGGGAATGCGGCAATAAGGGAAGTCTCCCACCGGGAAGATGGGTCGAAAGCGAGTCAAGGCTATACAAGCATTCCTGATTCCGATCGTATGGCGGATTTGTCGTACTAAATACGATGGTAATCAAGCAAGCAACTGTCATGTAAAAACAGCGATTATTGAACGCTCGAGTTTCTGGGTCTTATCCAAACCTCTATCCGACAATCCGAAATCGTTGGGAACTTCCGACTACGTCGCATTTCACGGCCGTTGTTTCGGCTGGTACAGTAATCCCCTTAAAAAAAGATTATCTGATTTTTGATCATTGTGGAGAGGTCATATTCCCAGTCGCTTCCATGGTGATACATACCCAGCAGAATGCTTGACGATGAGGTGGATCCCACGGCACGCGTACCTCCCTGCGGCTGATGTCCGTCAAAGAACCAGCGAGTCAGCACTTGACAGACGTAAACCCGCTTGATGGCCCTCACTTCTTAGAACCTCTCGCTTACAACGTAAATGATGATCTACCTGGACGAGTCAGGCTCCTGATGTTCCCAGCAATGGTTCCCTCCGTAACGCTGTCTCGAAGGCCGCTTAGCAATTGAGATTCATGTTGAGTAAAATGGGCGAAGAAAGAAAAAAGGAGAACAATAGGAGATTTATAAGTTGCAAGGAAGCCTTTAACCTGTCAACTACTTACACCATCATTCCCAATCTCAGCACTTCGTTTCAATATCTCGAAAAGTTCCGGCCCTTTACTTTTGCACCAGCACAAAAGATGCAGTTCTTCACCATCATCGCTCTCCTGGTGCCTTTGGCCCTCGCAGAGACCTGGAACCTTTCCGGCACCTGCTCCAACGACCTCACGTGCGAGATCGACGACCAGTACACCAGCCCTACACTGGTCTGCGGTAACCAGAACGGACATTTCTCTGGCGACGGCAACGCAGGAAAGACGGGCTGCGTCCCTGCTGGCACCAAGTGCACTTACGTCTGGACTTGTTAAGCTTTTACATCTACTCGCGTCCAGGTATGTAGGCAGTGTGTTGAGAATAGGAATGAGTGTGGCTGATGGATTTGTTTTGGTAGAGAAAGGAGTGATGGAGCGAAAAAGGTCGCATACTGGGTAGTTTCCATAATTAAAAGTCAACTGTATGAAGTCAATTGAGTTTAAACGTAATGATCTACCGATGAACCGGCGCCGCTCATGGTCCGTGATGTGATCCACTATTCCCGTTTTCATGACTGCCGTGTGTGTTCCCGGCGCGGGGTACACCCCACTATTCCCGAGGTAACAAACTCCGTGGAATCTAACCCCCCAGTGACCACCCCAATGTCCACTTGACACATTCTAGAGTCACTTTCCAAACATCTCACTGCGACGTTACCTTTCAAGCAAGATGAGCTCCGATATTCCTACCCTGCAACGAGCAGTTCTGTTTGAGAACCCCGGCCCGGATGCAAAGGTCGTTGTCCGGGAAGATGTCCCAGTCGGAACCCCCGGGCCGTTTGAAGTTCTCGTCCAACTTGACTTCACTGGATTATGGTAAGTTGACAGATGGCTACCTTCATCACTGGTCCCAACATCGCTAACACCATGGCCATCTTTGCAGCGGGTCAGAAGTCCGAGCGCTCCGTGGTTGGGGTGCTTACGATCCCATCCTGGGCCATGAAGGTATCGGCAGAGTCGTGAAATTGGGAGACAACGTCTCAGAGTTACTCCTGAAGAAGAAGGTTGGAGTCAAGTGGTTCTATAGCGCCTGCGGAGAATGTTCCGTATGCGCGCGCGGATTCCCCAATAACTGCTCTAAGCAGCTGAATACCGGCAAGCACCGTCCTGGGACCCTTCAGCGATACGTCGTCGCGGACTCGAGATACTTGACCTTGATACCGGAGGGCTTGAACGACGAGGAGGCAGGACCATTGCTTTGTGCGGGCCTCACGATGATGGGCGCGCTTTCGATGCTGGACAATGACTTATCTCGAGGCGACTGGGTGGTAATCCAAGGCGCCGGAGGAGGGCTCGGTCATCTTGGAGTGCAAATCGCGTCTAAGCTCAAGGGGTTCCGTGTCATCGCGGTAGACACGGGAGATGAGAAACGGAAGTACCTGGAGAGTAGAGCGGATGCGTTCATTGACTATGCAACTGAGGACGTGGAAAAGTCAATCATGAGTTTGACCGGGGAGGGAGCTCATGCTATCATCGTTGTTCCCGGTTCAGAGGACGCCTATCGAATCGCGCCAAAGCTCTTGAGGTCGATGGGGACAATCATTTGCGTTGGGCTACCTCGAAATGATTTCGAGTTGCCCATCTCAGTTGCTCAGTGTGCCCTGAAAGGTATGTTCTCTAGCTCTGCACCGCAAGCTCTCAGTGAAGACGAAAGCTAACACCTTCGCACTAGCTCTGACAATCAAGGGTGCCATGGTCGGGACAGAAGATCAAATGACGGAGCTGCTCCAGGCAGCTGAGAAGGGAACGATCCGGGCTTCCATAGACCTATTCTCCTTCTCACATGTTCCCGAGATCATGACCCAGCTAGAGAAAGGAGAGGTTTCTGGACGGGCCGTGGTCAGGTGTCTCTGAGAGCTACATGCCACTCGTTACCCCCTCAATGCCGTATAATATACCATCGTTTATCTTCCAATAAGTATATGAATCTGCTCTTGAGACGATTCGCTCGAGTCAATATTCTCGCAGATCCACTGAAGAAGTGCAGCGAGCGCTTAGAGCAAATTGAGTCCAACCATTCGGATCGACAAACGGATCGAACCCGCAATCTCTCACAAACCTTGCGGCTTTCCTCCGCCTTTGGTATTGGTTGAATTAGTCTCTTCAGATAGAAATAAGTAATGATACAGGTTGCGGCGACTGACCATCTCAACATCTGTTGGTTGTCCCATGTCGGTTTACCGGATATGGAGATGCTCATGCGGGAATCGTACCAACAGGACTTGCATGCCGACCACATGCATAACCATCACGCGCCAAGAGAGGGGTAAAATGTGATAGAAGAATCTTCACAGATATAAATACAATGAGGAAGTAAAATGAGAAAACTTGACGCATTGTCTCTTCGTTTCACCCCACATTACGCTTCCTCACTTAGGACGCGACGAAGATGGCACCTTCTCCACCCAAATCCTCTCCGAAGTCGTCGCCGAACTCGCCCCCAAATAATGGCGATGATACTATCGACGCTATTATTCCAGATGAGGTCTTTCCAAGACATTGAATCTTTTCTGAGAGCGGTTGTTGACCATGAGCTCAGATGAACGACGAGGGCGCCTCAACAATTGGACCCGTAGGTTCAGCTTCAAGATCAAGCCCGATTATGAGGAGCAAATGGATGACGACTTTTCAGAGCATCGCATCCTCCAGTACGAGCGTGAGCAGCTCGATTCTCGACTACCGCATAGAGAACGGACGCACGTATCACAAGTACAAAGACGGCAGTGAGTTCCGCATCGCACTAAACTTGAGGTTGTATCTCCGGCTCACACAAGTAGAATATGCACTTCCCAATGATGAACGGGAGCTTGATAGACTTGGTACGAAGCGCAACTCAACCATCGCCTTCTGGGACTAACCCAGGCGACCCCGCAGACCTGTCACACAATCTCTTTCTCATGACCTTTGACAACAAACTCGGAACAGCCCCGCCGAATGCCGCTGACTCTGGGGTCCGTCGCGTCCTTGATATCGGCACAGGCACGGGCATTTGGGCAGTCGACTTTGGCGACGAGCATCCCGAGGCTGAGGTAAGCTCGACTGCAGCGGGAATTTTCATGGTCTGACATCTTCCTCACTCTCATCTCAGGTTCTCGGAGTCGATCTGTCTGCCACATGGCCCGATTAGTGCAATTCCCACGTCTTCTTTCTCGTAGGGCAAGTAGCTGATCGCAAGTAGCACCCCTCCCAATGTCCGCTTCGAGATTGACGACGTCGAGGACACTTGGACGTTTTCTCGGCCGTTTGATTACATCCACAGTCGCGTCATGACCTCGTCGGTCAAGAGCTGGGAAGATTTCATCCGCAAGTGCTTCGAGTAAGTTTTCCATCGCTGCTCATCCACAGCAGCGGGCGGAAGCTAAGGAACGACATCCAGACACCTTAGCCCCGGGGGATACCTCGAGCTGAACGAAATCGATCCTTGCCCTCTGTCCGACGACGGCACCCTCCAATCGACGTCCGCAGTCATCAAGTCGGTCCGCATGCTAGAACAGGCTGCCAACATCTTCGGTCGCCCTTACCACACCGCGCAAGCACTCCAAGAGACTCTGACAAAAGTCGGCTTCGAGGATGTGACTGTACAGAGATTCAAGTGGCCGACGAACCCTTGGCCGCGAGATGCCCGTCATAAGGAGCTTGGGATCTGGACCCACGAGAATCTGGTTGCCGGCTGGGAGGGCTTCTGCATGGCACCTTTTACCAGGGCCCTGAATTGGTCTAGGGAGGAGGTCCTGATTCTCATGATGCAGGTGCGCAAGGAGTTTAGCGATCGGAGCATTCATGCGTACTTCCCGGTGTAAGCTTTTCAACTCGCTTCGTGCTTTCAGTTCCTTGACTAATGGTGGCAGCCATTCCATCTACGCTAGGAAGCCTGCCGGGCCAGCTTCAGCATGAGGTATGAATAAGTATAAATGGATAGGAGAGCTATCATAAGAGGACTTTCTAATTCAGCAACGTGCATTCTTGATCCACAAGGATAAGGTCACTGAAGGCGTCCTCAAGGCTGTCAATTGAGGGGAGCGTCCTATCATAACCAACGAAGACCATCTCATGCCCCCGACATGATGTCTCCAAACAAATAGTGTCTTTCGAACCCTTTCGTCTCTGGGGGTATATTCGTAGCTTATGCTTAGAGGACGGTCAGTGATCGGGAGGGAGATCCGGTGTCCGGCGTTCGGCGTCCCGGTGCGGGCAGATCGATTCTCAGCCGCCAGAAATTCGTTCAAGCACCATCTCGCAGCGGGACGACCAGTGCGAGCCATTCAGCCGACTGTCGTGGTGCGATATAAGCTTTGGCGCCGTTGGTCTCGTAGAACGGAGCCCGCTCGTAATTTATATGCGGTCGTATCAATGTATTGCGTACCTATAAAGCAAATTGACCAAGCGGCTGAGAAAGACCTTTCGAAACGAGATGGAGGTCGGTGTTTGGCTATTAGTAGATACGCTCACAATGTATTTCATTTCGATGCCCCAAATTCCCTGCATACTCAAGTGCCTTTCTCTCGGAAGCTAAAGGGGTGACAAACCCTCGAGGAATTTCAATGTAATGTCAAAGATCCGTCATCAGAGCTTCATCTCCAACAAGAATATTCAATAGAGATGCCCCGTCATGCCATAAGGTCTCAACAGCATATTAACGCCTACTGCTATCTCTGCAGTATCTCTCTACACCATTGTCGACATCACAAACTCAGTGTTGAATACTTTTCTTGACTACGATCACGCGCGGAATCAATCACAAGTCCACAATTACGCTACATTAACCCCTTCAAGCTCAGCCACAGACACCATCCCCAACATCTGTCAAACTTACCTCCGTTCCAGCCTAAGTCTAGCCTCCCGGCCCGGATCTCGCTTCACGCCGTGCAGTGTACCGCGTAAGCGGGAACCCTCCGTCCCCGAGCACCGTCCACCACCGTCGGCGACTCCGGCACTCCAGGGATGACCGTCGTAGGCAGTCGCGTCGCGTACCTCTCATCAAAGCAGAGCCTCAACCCATTCATCCATACCTTCACCTCCCCCGCTCCTCTGTCCTCCTTACGTAACCCATTTATCCCGGGTGCGACTTATACTTTTACGTACAAATTTCGTCACCGGGGAAAGGAGCTCTTTACGTGGGATGCAAGTCACGTTCACTCTTTTCCAACACCAGCCTCCAGAGCCACTCTATCCGTAGTCTTGGAGCGAGGTACTGAAGTCGGGTATCATCGGCTTCAAGTACCCTACCTCTAACATGACACTAGCGCATCAACGACCGTCACGGGATATTACCATAACAACGAAGGTGTAAAATTTCTTGAAATATTCAGAACTATAGGTAGGAAAGGCCAAAAAAGCTATCATAATATGTGCCATCATGATGGTAAACAAGTGGGTTGAAAACAGAAAACCTCATAACCATGCAATTAACCCCATTGTAATCCGCAGACCTCTGTAAACGCCATGTCGAACACAAGATGCTCCCCAAAAGGGAAACGCAAAAGAACCGTAGTGATACAGTCCGCACTTCCTCTCAATGCAGCGTCACCCTGACACCATCACCTCAAATGCGTCTAGTCCGCACCCGTGAGCATGCAAATCCCCAACGCGCATCCCCTTCACAACGGAGCGAAGAGCACAACCCCATCACCATGCATTCAACACACCAAGCAACCCAAACCACTCACTTACGCCTCATCATCCCTCTTCCCCTCCCTCTTAGTCGCATACATGTGAAACTGCCCAAAAATCACAAAATCCTCCACCATCGTGCCCAACGACCCCAACAACCACGGCAGCGCGTTGAGCAAATACGCCCGATCCTGCTTAAATGCAACAAGACTCGCGCCGTACGTCAGGTTCCCCGTAAGCGACAACAAGAAAAACAGCAGCGCGAGCCCCTCGCAAGACTTTTCCCTGTAATTCTTGATAATCTGCGGGATGCGCGCGCAGAGGTAGCACACGGCGCTAAAGTAGCCCAGCGCAAGACCAATCTTCTCCCAGGTGCCGTCCGCCGCGGCGGGGGAACCCGCGCCCGCACCGGTGTCGCTGTCGGGGGCGTCCCACGCGCCGGCCTTGTAGGAGAGGAACCAGCCCGCCGCGCCGACGAGGTATACCGCGAGGATGCTCAGGGTGTTGTGGAGCCAGGGGTTGCTGTCGGGTGTCTCGTCCTCGCCGGTGACCATCTTGCGCAGGGGGTCGAGCGAGCTCTCCTCGTGGTGGGCGTGACGGCGCTGCGAGCCGGGGAGACCGGCCGCCGCGGACGAGCTACGGCGGCGCTGTGCTGAGTTTGAGAGGAGGGGTTCATCTTCCCGTGCTTCGGTCGGGTTCGCGCCGGTGGCGGTGACGGGCGCGGAGGAGCGGCGGCGGGAGGATGCGCGGCGGGCGTTCTTGGTGTTGTAGTAGACGCATTGGGAGATTAGGACGAGGTCGGCGAAGCAGAAGTAGCTTGCGAGGGCGACGGCCGTCGGAGCGAGGTGGGTGAAGAGAGCGCCTGGAGGGGTGGTTGTTAGTGGGAGCACGCGCCAAAAGTTTAAATTTTTTTCATGGCGTTAGGAGTGTCGGCGTTGGTGGTTGGAGAAATTTTCGGTATGACAAGAGACGCATATTTTTTCTTGGAGAAGGGTAGCGGTGTGGGAGAAACTCGCGAGGCGCAGATAACATGGAACATTGGCAAAAGCACCAGGAAAAAAGAGTGAGGAGCTGGGAAGGTCATGTTTTCTGCGTACCCATGAGATTCGTCACGTCGCCAATCAACCAGATGATCAAGAAGCCCATGGACAAGCCATCAGCGCTTTGCGACTTGTAGTTTGTGAGAAGCTGGGGAAGCTATTTTGTGTAGATAAGGATGGTCAGTCTACTTGGACAGAAAAAGCAGGCAAGAAGAGTCGTGATCCGAGGTCGCGTGACCTTCGCGAACAGAGAAAGGGACGTACGAGAAGACATATCCACGCGGTCAAGCTAATGCTGCCAAAGATTCCCGACAGGGCCTCTTCGACTTTCGGCGTGGACGATAAAGCGGCAAAGGCCGTAACCGCGACGGAAGCCATTGTATGTGTATTTTCGATATGCGACCTTGGTGAAGCTCACGATAACAAACGTGAAAGAAAGGTGAAAAGAACGGGTAAGAAGAGCCGCAGCGACAGATAGGTTTTGGGGGAAGCTCTTCTCTCTTGTGCCGTTCCTCGGTCAGGTGGGCTTAGGAATGGGGTCAAGTGGGATGGTTTTCTTCGATGGAGAGTCACGCAGACAAGACATTGTTGGTGCGGCACGGGTAGAGGGGACTGATAGCGCCCACATTTCGTCCAATCCGATTTCAGCATTCTGCTTTTCCCCCGTTATCGCATTCCTTATCGCTTACCGCAACCGATAAGAGACCCCTGCCGCCGCATGACATAACCAAAAGACCAAGAACGACCTTGGCGTCGTGGAGTGCGGGCTGACGAAGAGAGCAATTAGTGGGGGCGGGTTGAGCATCCAGCAAGGGTCCCTCCAGGAAAACTTGGAAAGAATTTGGCGGGCAGAGCGGGTTGACCGCCGCAAAGGTCCTATTTTCGGAGGGGCCCAATGACGGAGAAAATGGTCGAGCTGAGAGAGTTGCGCCAATGAAGAGTCCTGATTTGGTCATCTCAACCTGCTGAAGCTGTCACTGTCGCTGACAACATGGGCTTATGTAATTCTTCCAAGACGCTTCTGCGCATTTGCATCTGCACCAATATCGAGATGAACCGTTCGCATGGCCCAGATAACATGCCCGAATGCATGCAGCGAGAGGCGTCACCCAAAGTCTAACCATCTGCCTCCAATCACAGGAGCAGAGGCACACCGAACGATCAGATAGGCTGAAATTCCGCATTCCAGTAGTCACCGGACATCCGCCGATCGTCAGCATTCCCCTCCCAAGTGGTGTTTCACGTGGTTCCCCCCGTGCACCGCCATGATTCGCCCTCCGTGGCTGAGGCGGCACCGGGTGTGGATGGTCACGGACGAGCACCCCGGCGCAGGCGTTCCTCGGCCAACTCACCTCTGCCGGGCGCCTACACCAGCGGCCCGCTCAGCGCCAGTCATCCGTGTTGACGTTAAGTTGGAAGGTAACGTGAGCTGGCGTGCATCGCTCCCGTCCTCAAGACCGGCGACCCGACCACGCGTCAAGCTCCCATATAACCGCGCGTCCGTCCTGTTTCCTGTCTAGCTTGTCGTCATTCAGTCAAATTGACGGACTCAAATTATAGTCCTAAAACAGTGAAGCCTAATCGCACCTCAGTGCATACCAACTCACCAATAAGAATCGCAAGCCATCATGAGGCTTTCGGGCACTGTCGCACTGCTCGGTGCATCGCTGCACGGGGTTGCTGCATGGGGAAGTATGTCATAAATTCCCTGCATCCACGATAGCTTCAAAATGGCCCTGAGCTGCAAAGTGTCTCGAGTTGCCTCGCTGACCGACTTGACTTACCAGGTCTGGGTCACATTGCGACTGCGTATCTAGCCAGCCACTTTGTCGCCAACACAACCGAAGTCTTCTTCCAGGACCTGCTGCGTAATGATTCCGAGCACTACCTTGCCGGCGTCGCCACTTGGGCCGATACGATCCGGTACACGCGCTGGGGACACTTCACCGGGCCCTTCCACTTTATCGACGCCAAAGATAGTCCGCCCGACTATTGCGGCGTCGACCTCGAGCGGGATTGCAAAGACCAAGGCTGCGTCGTGACGGCACTCGCAAACTACACCGCCCGGTCTCTGGATCCCAAGCTGAGCGGGTGGGAACGCAACCAGGCGGCGAGGTTCGTCGTGCACTTCATCGGCGACATGCACCAGCCTCTCCACAACGAAGATGTGGCCCGGGGAGGCAACGGCATCCACGTTAAGTGGCAGGGTTCCGATTACAACCTGCACCACGTCTGGGACAGCTC